GTTGCTGTGCTTGAAAAGGCCCAGAACACATGCTTACGCATGATTTTTGGAGGTCACTCCACATCTTCTACATCTGTTTTCCGTCACCTTGGGAATCTTCCTAGCATGAGGGAGAGGATCTTGACTCTTGGTTTCAAGTTTGTATATCGTGCTTTCTGGTTGCCTGATGAGGCTCTGTTTACTCTTCTTCGACCTGTTCTTACAAACCCAGCACACCAATAGTTTAAGCTTTTAGCTAATCCCATTTGGTTGTCTCTCTCCAATCGTCAGAATGCTGATTCTAAAGCTTGCAAGCATGCCATTCGTTCATTTTTGAACCAGGGCCTCTTCTTGCAACGCTCTCAACAAATACTTCTCTCTGCTTGCCGTCCTTCTCTTGGTGTTGACCGTATTCTCTGGCTTCCCATGACTAACTATGAACGTAGTAGATTCATACGTTGGCGTATGGGGTGGCTTCCTGGACGTCCTCAACCTTGTTCCTGTGGATTGCATACCACCAGCCGTCATCATGTCATTGAGTGCACTGGAGCTGCAATTCGTCTCCATCTCTATTCTACAGTACAACCCAATCCAATTGATTATGTACTCAATATGCTGCCTCTGAAGAAACCTAAAAACAACAAGAACAATGCCTTCTGGATCTTTACTTGGCCAATTCTTTGTAGAATAATGTTGGACATAGAACAGATCTGTCTCCCTGGGGTTAATCTTGCTGATCATGCTGCAACAGACAGAGGACAACTCTTCTTGAACTGGCTACCCAAATGAGACTGGCCATCTCCTTTTATTTTTAGTCTAGATCTGTATTAGTCTTAGTTTCCATTTATTGCATGAATTTCATGCATGCTTCATATTTTATCCTTATCTCCCTTTTTTTGTATCCCCTAGCTTAGTTTCCCTTTCTAGTTTTTCCCATTTTCCCCTTGGGTTTTTTTCCTTTCTATTATTCTTTTTTGTACTCTTAAAGGCAGGCAATAGCTCTATAGTGCGTGTGCCCACTAGCCTTTCAATAAAAATCTTTTACCTACACCAAGAAACCATAATTGTTTTTATATATCTACCAATTTTTATTTTTTTTAATTGACTTTTTTTCAAATTGTTGGAATCATCATTGCAATCATCTTCACATCTGCGCCGAAATCACTTAAGATTGTCAGCATCTCCAACTACATCTCAATTGCCTGTACCTCTGTTATCGTCTCCAGCTCTTTTCTCCTTCTCTGAAGGTGGTTCTGGTGTTTTACCATCAACTTCGCACTTTTTTGTCCCAGTTTCAGACCTTTCTTTTTCTGCTTTGCCTGCTTCTGGTTCCCACGAAATTTTTTTTCAAGCTCCTACAACAATGATTGGTTCCCAAAAACAGGTGATTAATTCCACTGGCCGCCCTACTCCCACTGCTCTCATTTTGTCTGGCCTCAAGGCAGACTTTAAAAAATTGCACAATGTTTTGTCCTGTTCACATTGCCAGACTACAGGCAAAATTGTTTCTAATGGGTCTACTTCTTGTACTGGTAGCCCACAGTTTAAATGCAAATGTGGTGCAACATTTACTGCTTCATCCATGCAATCTTTGATCAATGCAGTCCAACACAAAATTCCTGAAGTTCGTTCTGCAAGTGAGCCTGTTGTGTCCCCTTCTGTTTCTATCTTGGGTCATAGTATTTCCATGGCAGATATCCATGAAATTGAATCTGATGTTGCACCTGTTCTTCCAACTGTAATGCCCACTCTTCAGGATATTTGGGACCGTTTCCAGGCTTATGATGAACATCTTTCTGCATTGGAGGCTGTTCAAAAAGAGAATATTGAGTTGCGTAAGGCTCTTGCTACTGCAAACGCCACTATTGCACGTTTGACAAAGGAGAATGTTGATTTTTCTGTTGGTGCTGCAGCATCCAAATATGCTACTATTGCTGCCTCTGTTCCAGTTGTTTCTCAGGCTGATTTTCCATCACTTCCTGCATCCCCGACCCATCATTCCACTGAACCCACCAAGACTTTCGTTTCTAAAACACCACGTAAAAGGGCTCCAACTGCTAGAGCCATTGCTGCTGTTGTTCGTGGCATGACAATTAAAGAAAATGCTGATCAGGGGTTTCAAATTATTTATGTACCTAATGCTATCCGTCTCCCCATTAGTACTCAACGTCAACGTCTTAGGAAATTAAAGATAGACAATGCACGTGTGCTGGATCTCCACTATCCTGATCGTAAGGTGATGGGAATGCTTGTACATAATGACTATGCTCCTGAGCTCAAGACTATCTTGGTGAGTTATGGTGTTACTACTTTGGATAACTTTGATCCTCTGGACCCTGTTCACCTCTGTGACCCAGCTCTGGCCTCTCTTTCACTTGATGATAGGGCAACAAAAGCTATACATGTTCACAATGATCGTATGCTACGTGCCATTGAATTCATTAGGGCTTCTGTCAAGTTCGCTGTTGCACGTTCCTTTTGCTCTCAGGGATGGATTAGTGATGACCAACTAGCTGAGATTGTTCCCCCACGACCCACCAAAAAAGACTTGGACATCTCTATACATACTGCCAGCATCACCATCCCTTCATTCTCTGATCTATGAATCCAGTAACAATTACATTATGGAATGCAAATGGTCTTGCAAAACAGACCATACCTACGATCCTTTCATATGCTCCACTTACTTCCCTTCTTTTTATCACTGAAATGTGGCTTTTGTCCCCCAATCGTTATCCTACTTCTTGGCAGCAGTACCATACCTATGGTCAGTCTGTCCCCAATGCTAGCCGTGGCTGCATGGGTATTTCTCTTCTTGTAAATCCTTCTTTCCCTTACCCCATTTCTATTGTTCCTTCTTCTTCTCCTTATGTTCTTTCTTGTATTGTATTTGATTTTCTTATTCATTGCATTTATCTTCCCCCTTCTCTTTCTGATGATGATGCAATTTCTATTCTTTATGACCTCCCCCTCTCTTCTTCTTCTATTCCTTCTTCTAACACTATTTTTTGTGGTGATTTTAATTCACGTATGGGATCCTTTCTTGGTGACCATGCTATCACTTCGCGAGGAACTTCTTTTCTTCAGTGGATCCAGGCAACTGGTCTCACTTGTTGGAATGAATTACTTGCATTTGGTATTCCTACCTTTCTTTCTGGTGGCTCTGGTACCTCACGTTCCAGTGTCATTGATTTATTTCTTTCTACGTCCCCCCTTCTCAATCCTTCTATGCAAATTCGTTCTGATCTTTCTTTAGGCTCTGATCACAAAATGGTCAACCTCACTTTCACTCCCTATGTTTCACCTCCCCCTCCCCCTACTAATCATCCGCACCTACTTTGGAATCTTTCCAAGCTTGCTCAGCCTGACACTCTCAAGATCTACATTGATACAGCTTCTGGGTCATTGGACAATCTGACAGAGCAGTTCAGTGCTTTCCTTTCTTCTTCTTCTCCTCCTCCTGTAGATTCTCTGTGCTCTGCTTTTGCTCAAGCTATCTATGATGCTCTGGACACTGCTGTTGGTCGTCGTACACCACGTACCATGCAAAAGTACTGGTTCTGGTCAGTGGACCTTCAAGAAGCAATGGATCTGAGAGAACGCAGCTACCAACGCTGGCGTCATTCTAGTGGTTTGCAGAAGGCTATATGCTGGATGCGCCATCAGAATGTATGTCATGCTGTTAGGTTATCAGTCCAGCGTCGTCAACGTGAAACATGGAAAGAATTCTGCAACAAATTGGCAACACAAGACTTTGCAAAGACAACAGCAACAATGAAACATATTAAAAGCCATCGTCAAACCAGTCCTGTCTTTGTGGATCCTGGTGGACCTCAAGTAGCTGCTAACAAAATGGCTGATCATCTTCAACAGATTTTCTCAGGTCAATTTCTTCCTGCACGCTGCCCTTCAGACCAGACAGTGATGATTTCATCACCAATTGCAATTGATGAATCATGTCCTTTTACTCATCTTTCTGTAGAGAGTGCAATTCTCAAGCTTCCTACACGCAAGGCTCCTGGTGTTGACCATCTTCGTGCTGAAATGCTTCACCCAATTGTTAAGCAAGTCTCTCCTGTTCTTTGTCTTTTGTTCCAGCTTTGTTGGCAATGGGGTTCTGCACCTCTTGCATGGCGTACTGCACAAGTTGTCCCCATCTTTAAAAAGGGTGATACTCATGACCCTGCTAACTATCGTCCCATTAGCTTAACGTCTATCCTGAGAAAAGCCATGGAATATTGTCTACAGTTTCCTCTTGAAGATGTGTCTCCAACAATTGACATTGCACAGGGTGGATTCCGACGTCAACGTAGCTCCCTTGATCAAGTTCTTTGTCTCCATGAGATGGTCTGTCGTCACACAGCTCTATTCAAAGCACCACCAGTCTTGGCTTTTCTTGATATCAAGTCTGCATATGACACTGTTGATCGTTCTGTAGTATGGACATCGTTACGTCCTCTTGCCTCTGATGCTATGTTAGCTTTGTTACAAAGTCTTTTTGACAATGTTCAAGTTGCGGTGTTGCTTTCTGGTGCAACATCCAGATCATTCCAACCATTGACTGGCGTTATGCAAGGATCTGTGCTTTCTCCCCACCTTTATTCTGTGTACATAAATTCTCTACCAGTTGCTCTTCGTGCTGCAGGGGAACTTTGTAACACAGTATTTAATCAGACTGCTGCCACAAGACTCAATGATCAATTAGTCAATTCACTACTTTTTGCTGACGATGTTGCCATTATTGCTACACCAGAAGCTATGTCTGTCATTCTGAATTCTGCTGAACAACATTCTCAAGAGCTAGGATATCGTTGGAGTCCCACCAAGTGCATGATCCTTCACCATTCTTGTTCTCTTTCTCCTTTGTCATTCTCTCTCTACAATGTGTCTATTCCTCATGCTCATTCGTTTCCTTACCTTGGTGTTCCCTTCTCAGCAAAGGGGACTATTGATCCATCTCTTCTCATCTCTCGTAATTGTGTCTCTGCTATCAACAGCATGCGTGCTCTTCAATCACTTGGTGTCAATCACACTGGGTTGTCACGTCTACTCTCAATTCGTTTGTATCGCCAGTTTATCCGTCCACAATTTGAGTATGGCCTGGCAATATCCTGCTTCAACATTAAACAAGTTGCTGTGCTTGAAAAGGCCCAGAACACATGCTTACGCATGATTTTTGGAGGTCACTCCACATCTTCTACATCTGTTTTCCGTCACCTTGGGAATCTTTCTAGCATGAGGGAGAGGATCTTGACTCTTGGTTTCAAGTTTGTATATCGTGCTTTCTGGTTGCCTGATGAGGCTCTGTTTACTCTTCTTCGACCTGTTCTTACAAACCCAGCACACCAATAGTTTAAGCTTTTAGCTAATCCCATTTGGTTGTCTCTCTCCAATCGTCAGAATGCTGATTCTAAAGCTTGCAAGCATGCCATTCGTTCATTTTTGAACCAGGGCCTCTTCTTGCAATGCTCTCAACAAATACTTCTCTCTGCTTGCCGTCCTTCTCTTGGTGTTGACCCTATTCTCTGGCTTCCCATGACTAACTATGAACGTAGTAGATTCATACGTTGGCGTATGGGGTGGCTTCCTGGACGTCCTCAACCTTGTTCCTGTGGATTGCATACCACCAGCCGTCATCATGTCATTGAGTGCACTGGAGCTGCAATTCGTCTCCATCTCTATTCTACAGTACAACCCAATCCAATTGATTATGTACTCAATATGCTGCCTATGAAGAAACTTAAAAACAACAAGAACAATGCCTTCTGGATCTTTACTTGGCCAATTCTTTGTAGAATCATATTGGACATAGAACAGATCTGTCTCCCTGGGGTTGATCTTGCTGATCATGCTGCAACAGACAGAGGACAACTCTTCTTGAACTGGCTACCCAAATGAGACTGGCCATCTCCTTTTATTTTTAGTTTAGATCTGTATTAGTCTTAGTTTTCATTTATTGCATGAATTTCATGCATGCTTCATATTTTATTCTTATCTCCCTTTTTTTGTATCCTCTAGCTTAGTTTCCCTTTCTAGTTTTTCCCATTTTCCCCCTTGGGTTTTTTTCCTTTCTATTATTCTTTTTTGTACTCTTAAAGGCGGGCAATAGCTCTATAGTGCGTGTGCTCACTAGCCTTTCAATAAAAATCTTTTACTTACACCAAGAAACCATTACGTTTTATGACACGTGGTGTAATAATCTGGTTGGCCTTAGTTCAAAAACCATATTTTACCAAGTTCAGACCTTCTTTTGAAAACCCCTTTTTATTTTTCTTCAAAATTTTAATTTTAATTTTAAATTCTTTTTTCTATTTTCACAAAATCGCCTTTTTTCAAGAACTGATTTTCTGAAAATTAAAATCTTTTCCCTTTATTTTTTCCCGAAATTGTTTTCTCTCTTTTCTTTTTATTTTATTCCTGCGCACTAAATGTTAGGCTTCCTCTCAAACACTACTTTATCAAAATTGTTAACTGAATAGTTTTTCCCTTTATTTATAGCATACTTCTTTCCAATATTTTTCTTTTCTTGTAATTATATATTATAACTTCATCTATTTCTTCTTTCATGACAAAATATTTATATAGTTATTTTTCTTTGTATTTTTATTTACGATTATCTCATTGAGTTTTATCTAGCTGTTGTAAATGAGTATTAACTACTGCTGTAATTGAGAATAAGTCTGAAGAAAATAATATAAGGCCTCAGCTATTTCAGTCAAAGGTGTCTACCGATTACTTTATTATTTAACACACAGGTTTAGCATGTATAATAGTGATTATATTTCATATGATGATATCACCATAATATGAGATACATCAGTGGATTATTATAAGCATAATTATAACTCATAAACACATTTACTTTCGATGTTAATACTTCATTGGGACTACACACCTTTATATAATTAATTATACATTAATTAGCCCAAGATCACGTTGCTCTGATTAAGGCTCAGATAGGATCGATTACCTGACCCCAGTCATATAATTTTCCCAATCTAAAATAATATAAATAGCAGTAGTAGTTCAGTGTAGGAACCTCGTCAAACTTTGATACAAAATCTTTTCTCAATAAACAAAACCTACACAAGTTCTCACGAATCTTCGTTCCTAATCTCAAATCTTCAATTCTTCCTCTTAAAAACTTCTTCAACTTTAACCACCACAACACTAGCTTATTTTGCTATATATTTTATCCATAAAGTAATATAAATATCTCTCTAAAATCAATTAATAAACAACTGTCAAATTTTTCTGATACAAGTTTTTTTCAAGACTCTGTCTATTATCTCTGATCTCTTTTGTAAAATTTCTTTCATTTTATTTATTTTTCTGTCAAATCTTTATAGAAGATTGACTACCCCCTCTTATTTTATTATTTTGTCCCGATTTTCTCTTTTATTTATCTCATAGTAAATTTCTCTTTAGCTAAATTCTTTACTCTATTAAACATTTCTTTCCTATAGGTAACTCTTTAGAATTAGTATTATTTACATCTCTTCTTTTAGTTTAAGTATTTCTCTAATCATTCAAAATATTTACACTCTTACCTTAGTATTAGTTTCTCTTCTTAAATTTTTTAACTGATCTATTTGTTAACAAAGAGACTATTTTATTATCTTAATTTATCTGATATCAAACCCAAATCCTCAATTCCTCTTTTCAATTCTCCTTCTTATATTCATTTACCTTTTCTTGTACATTTTCTACACACAACCAAATACCACATGTGACATCTTTATCAGATTGCGCTAAGCTGATAAATCAATATCCAGACAATATAAAAACAGGCAAAGAAGTATACTTAATAATAAAAAAGTATACTAAAAGAAGTATGGTCAAACAGACAAAGTAATATAGTAGATAAAAAATAATTTTATTTTGAACAGTTACTATTAATATTTATACTAATTATTTGGAATGTTTGTCTTAAGATCTTATTTGATATGATATCTCATCTGTAAGAATATTAATTTGAATTATTATTTCTGCTATGTAAGAATGTAAGTGAGAGTTAAAGTATTTAATCACAAAAAAAGATTCGTTTGCACTTTCCTCTTTTTGGAATAATTGATTTGAAATTCTTCTTTTGTTTAAGCTCTGGCTTGCCGGCTACGATATTTTTGATCCAGGGTATTATGATGATGATTAGCATTTGACAAAATTTCAGTTGTCTAGCAGTGCGGTAATATTGCAGAATTCTTTATAATTCTAAAGAAATTATATTGTATTAATTTTTTTTATTTTCTGATGGCGGCCAAGGCTGGATAGAAAGCAATTTTTCTATTTGTAGAGCAAAACACCAATAGGTACAACAAAAAAATATTATCTTATCAAAAATAACTTCACACAACCACATATTGTATCTTATTTTCTTACTAAATTTAACTGAGCAAATAAACTTGGAATTAATATTATTTTTATTATATTTTCTTTACAAACATAATTATTTTCATGCTTATAACTTAATAATTATTTTTATTTTATTTGTACTTAATGATAGTAAAAAATAAATTACATTTAATAGATCATCAATTATATAACTTTTTATTATATTTTTTAATAATTTATTTATTTAGTTATTTAACAAGTCAATTGCAAAGCTATAAGTATTACAATATGGGCATTTAATAAATATTGATTTTTTTATCTTATTTTCTGACAACAAGTTCTCTTAATATTTAATGCTGTTGATATTTTACTTGTTTGATTATCTGAGTATATTTAGTCAAGTCTATCAAGATTGATCAATAACACTGTTCTTCTCTTATTTTTTTTATTATTGATTTTATTATCTTTAATTCTACTTTCTCTTTTGAGTTTGTCTTTTTCTCTCTTATGGAAAAGAAAAGTTATTTTATATCTATGAACCCATTCAAACCTTGAAAACAGTGATAATATATTACCTGTCAATATTTATCACAAATATAAATATCACACTTATCATCTTTTAGAGCCAATTTTTTATTTTAATCCCAGCATGTTTTTACTTTCACCCTTTTTTCTCAAAAAGCAGTCTATCAAACCCCTCTGTTTTTTGCAGCAGGATTTATTGTCTATATTTTTTCTATATACATCCTGATTTTTATATTTTTTCATTAACTTTTTTACATATTATCCAAATCATCATATCAAAATCTTTACATCTGCATCATAGTCGTGGCAGATTGTCAGCATCTTCAACTACATCTTGGTTGCCTACAGCTTTGAACAGCTCTTCACCACTTTTCTATTCTCTACAAGTGATTTTAAGGTCTTTTCAACAACTTTACACTTTTTTCTCCCCATTTCATATCTTTCTTTTTCGTCTTTTCCTGCTTCAGTTTCCAGTGAAAATTTTTTTCGAGCTCAACCAATGATTGAATCTCAGAAATTGGTGACTCATCCAAAGGGTTTCCCCACTCCCACTGCTCAAATTTTGTTCAGTTTGAAGGTGGATTTCAAGACATTCTATAATGTTCTTGTACGTTCATTTTGTCAGACTGCAGACAAATTTGTTTGCAATGAGTTTACCACTTGTACAAATAGTTTCCGGCTCAAATGCAAATGTAACATCATATTTACTGCTTCAGCTATGCAAGCTTTAATTAATATGGTACAACACAAGATTTCTGAAGTCCAGTCTGCCAGTCTTTCTGTTTTCTCTGTTGATTCTGCTTGTGATAATAGCTTTTTAATGAAAGATATTGCTGATTTTGCTGACAATACTGCATTTATCATAGATGCTCTTAGAGTGGTTTATTGACATAGACACTAAACAATATATATAGTGATTTCCAAAATCGAAAAAAGATTATTTCACTTTAAAGTTTGTACATTTAGCCTCTGCTAAAGATGAGGGGTTAAATCTTTCTAATATTCTTATATGGTAATTTATGTTAGTTACTATTAGTATTTTGAATCAGAGTAATTTTATTTTCTCTTTTTTCTATTATTCATTTTCTTGTTTCTTTTATACTTCTATTTATCTTAAAAAATGCCAAATACCAATTGTCTATTTGTTTTCATCAACCCACTCAATCTGGAATGTGTGGTAGATATCCTTCTCAGTTTACTCATATTGAAAGCAACATTGAGACAAATGCGGATCTGGCTGTCTTGGACAATGAACCAATCAGAAATGACAAATAAGAAGACATGAGAATATATAAGATATAGAGAAAGTAGAAGACATTGAGGAAATTCAAGTATTGGAGGATACCAAAAGTGTACAAGGCTACTCTGCTTTATCAAACAAAATCAGTTAGGATGAAGATATTGCGATATTGCTTTTGAAAGTTGTCTTGGATACTGATGTTCACAATAAGATCTGATATGCAAATATACATAAGAGAAAGATTAATTATATTTAGAAATTCTTCTTGGAGACTTTCAAGATCAATGACAACTTTGATGGCCTATCAGCTTCCTTTAAAGCAAATGTGGACACCAACAAGTGCAAAAATAAGTTCAAGTCAATAAGAAAGACCTTTAAAAAAGCTAATAGGACATATATCTAAATCAGTCATGACTGTAGATTCTATCTATCACTTTGGTATGAGAAAATGCAAGAGATTACTTTTGTTGTGATAGTTGAAGTTGAAGAAGTTTTTAAGAGAAAGAATTAAAGATTTGAGATTGAGGAACAAAGATTCATGAGAACTTGTGTAGGATTTGTTTATTGAGAAAGATTTGATATCAAAATTTGACGAGATTTTTATACTAAACTACTACTGCTATTTATAATATTTTGGATTAGAAAAATTATATGCCTGGAGTCAGGTAATTGATTCTATCTGAGTCTTGATCAGAGCAATGTGATCTTGGGATAATTAATGTATGATTAATTATATAAATGTGTGTAGTCCTAATGAAGTATTAACATCAAAAGTAAATGTGTTTATAAGTTATAATTATGCTTATAATAATCCACTGATATATCACATATTATAGTGATATCATCATATGAAATATAATTACTATCATGCATGCTAAACCTGTGTCACTGCAAAAACACCTTAAAATAATTGAATTCCACTTACCTGGAATTATCGATAATAGTAGCCAAAAAATTACAACCCAGTTCATTTCCTGTGTTTAGCAGCGAGAATATATTTAAAGACATATCATTGGCCTAATATATATCAGAGTCCCTGAGAGAATTTTTTCAAAATAATAAAGACAATTATAACAAGCAACGGCTGTTACACACTTCCTTTATTATTAAAAAAAATTAAGTGAAAAAATGTTTTCCATTGCCAATCCCGATGAAGTTCGTTGCAAATGCACAAGATGCAATCGCAATCCTCTTGGATACACCATGACAGATAAAAGAACTGCCAAGCGTCATGCCCAGAATGATAATGACAGGAATATGGATAAAACCATTAATGGTAAATTAAGTTATCAATTTTTCATTTATTTATATGATGTATTCTAATCCATTAGAACAAATAGTTTTGACAGCCGAAGTAAACACTGGTGAAGCTGATATGGACGTAGATCAAATTGAAGAACATATTGAAAGTAATAGTATTTTATTTTTTATACCCAATGCGCACTCTATTTAAACTCGGTACCAATAGATGATAATTACTCCAATGGTGCACCCTCACCAGAGCAGTATGTCAATACCCACTTACCTCTTTTGGTGGAAGAATCTCTTTTTGAAACAGAGGAGTATACCTCAGAGTATGAGTCTGAATATGAGTCGTCGGATGAATTTGAGCAAGAAGAACAGAACAGAGAGCAAGAACAGGGTAAATATTAAAAATAAACTATGATTGAAGAAAAAAGGTTTGAATTAAAGAAATAAAAAATTAATATTATTTTATGATAACTTACAGAGTCTACAGAAAACCTTCCAGAGAATATTTGGCATCGAGTAATTGCGGTTTTCACTGTGATATTTATTTCTAGCTTCATTGTGGATGAAGGCGCAGTAATTTTGATTACATTCATAAATACAATCCTCGAACATTATGGAGAGGATTTCCGACTTCCCACAAGCATTCCGGGTTTGAGGAAAATGACAGGATACAATGACTTGACAAACGGCGTATCAAAATATGTAGCATGCAGTAATTGTCACACATTGTACGATTACAGCAACAACACACATACATCCTGCAATTTCAAAAGAGTTGGTAGTAAGACGCATTGTAAGAATGATCTCTACAAGTCTAGTATGAAGAACGCCATGATTCCAAAGTGCACATTTGTTTATAACTCGTTGACAACTACCTTGAAAAAAATGTTTACACGTCCTTCTTTTGAGAGTATGATCAACAGATGGAATTGTGAACCAAAAGTCGACGGTACTTTATTTGATGTATATGATGGAAAGATGTGGAACGAATTAGTGGATAAGGATGGTGTCCAGTTTGTTTCGAAGGAACGATCATTACTATG